GGTCACCTCAAATAGAAGTTGTTCTTCTTTGAAAAATTATAAATACAAATATGCTTTAATTCAATGTCAATGCTTACAATGCTTATTTTCTTAATAGCTACAAGAAATAATTATCATGTCATTGCTATGCAAGCATTGCTAACATATATTTTTGTATGTAAAATGATTTTGCATGTTAAACAGACTTACCTCGGCCGTGTATGGTTTTAAAAGATACTTCTTGTTTTATTTAACTATTACTTATGTGAATTGTGTCCAGATGATCATTTGCTTGAATGTTAGATGATGGCAACAAAATGACATTTTCTTATTTTTGATATGACGTTTGTCATAGTTACCACAGAAGTATGATATGTTTTTACATATAAGTAAAACATAAATGTAGACAAATATCACAGCTTTTGTATGAAATTGATGAAATCATTTTCTATATTATAGCATAAAATCGGCTATCTTTCCCTCTTTCGCCCATGTTATAACGGGACCAAAACCATGTGTTAACATAGTCACGCGCTCTTGTTATAGCCCATTTTTACCTATGCGCAATACACACAGGGCCCAGTAAACAAACAAAAAAATGACTATTTGGCCTTGTTTGCCAAAGAGGCATGCACTTTTGTTATATTGAAATTATTGATTCGAGGGCATCAATCGCATAAGTAACGGCGAGCAGCATTCAAGTAACTATGCCGGAAATACGGCGTATAGACATCGCCGCTTATCTTAGTTGTCGCCCTTTCTAAGAAACTACCGTTGTCAATGTAAACAAACCCTCCGAGTAACTTACAAAACAATATAACACAAATGAATATGAGAAAATGTTGTTTTATTGATGTTTATATTGATAAATGCTCTTTATATTTCTTTGAGAGAATAATGTTTAGTGCCTGATTTTTTATAAACTTGTGTGCTCGAAAAAAAAAAAAACTATTCTGATGTCATTGATCTTTTTTCTACCGTCAATCAGAAATAATTCTAGGAATTTCTGAGGGTCATGTTTTGTCTTGGGTAGAGTAATTTAATGTGTATTTTTTTCTTAAGTTAATAAATCTCCAATGTTAAGCTTTGTTAAATCATTTAAAATTCGAAATTTCGTTTGGTTCTGAGCATTTGTATTTCCAAAGATGTTGGCCCCGGAAAAATAAAACGCATACGTAAAACATGTAGAATTGGATAAATACCGTCCAAGCACAAGGATTTAATGTATGTGTTTTGTATTAAATCGACACCATAAATTTGTTTTAAAATTTTATGCTATAATAGCGTCAACGCACGTTTATTTCGTGTTATAAAGTCTGCAGAGTCCCTCGGAACTGTTAGAGCCCTCGCCCTACCGGGCTCGGGCACCAACCGTTTCTCGGGACTCTGCAGACGTTATAACACGGAAAAACATGCGTTAACCCTATATTACATAATTATATTTGAAAAGTTGAATTATCTGAAACTTTACATACATACATTCCGTGTTTTTTAAATTATGCAATAGCAAGGTGTTACCGGTCCGGCTATATTTATGGTAGCGAAATTTTGGGTTATAAATGTTTTAAACAAATACATACTCTTACATGTAAAAATTCTTATGTGTGAATTAAAAACATCTAATGCTTTTTCATTATGGGAATGTGGGCGTTATCCTCTCTTTTTATATTATTCTGTACGTTGTATGAAGTATTGGTTAAAAATAATTAAAATGCCTTATAAAAGTTATGTCAAAAATGCCAAATTTTCCTTTTGGATACAAACACTGATCTTCATTTCCATTGGGCCAAAGAGATATAAAGATTGTTGGAGATTCATGGTTTTATGTATGTGTAGCACAATATTCATAATATAAGTCCCAATATAAAATTTTGCAAAATTGGTATAGCGTTGTCGGATCATCATCAAAATTATCAGTCTATAAGGGTAAAAAATTAAATGATGAAAATCATTAATATCACTTAGATATTTTATTTGAACGTAAATTAAGACATCGTTATGCTTACTTTTGATCTGGCTCTCTTGCTAGGCAGACAACAAGATATTTTAAGAGAACAAAGACTGTGTAAATAATGCAGTAGATTTAAAATTGATGATGAGTTACATTTTATGTTTAAATGTCCGGTAATGCAAGATTTACGAAACATATACATTCCAAAAAAGTATGTTCTTGTTACATCTTTTAATAAAAGTACGTATTTTGTTAAGTAGCAGAAATAATATTTTAATGAGAAGAAACAGCTTCTTGCATTTTTACTCACAATAAAGAAAGAAAATCTTAATGAAATTCTAACAACATTTTGTTGACTATTAGCTAATATGTTAACAGAATTTTACATATAATATCTTACATAAATATAATTTTTGTGTTAACATCATTCATGATTATCATCTTTAATCTTATTATGCACATTGTAAAAAAAATAGAAATGATATTCTAATAATTAATATACTTCATACATTTTACCACAATTAGATTAGAAAATCGTGATCAAATTTAGAAAACAACACCTTATAATATGTTTACGTCATAACAGTGTAGTATTTTTACATGTGCACACCAAATTGGTTTTGTATTTTACATTTTTGGCCAGCGAACTATTCCACGTATAAATGAGTTTGAGAATGAAGCAACTGTGGTATGAATATCAGGTAAATGTATGTATATGTGTTTCTGTATCACGCACACATACTAGTGTATAAACAGTTATTGTTCTATTAATAAAATCCTGTAAAATGGCGGGAGCATAGGGGGGGGGGGGGGGTGAGGGTGTTGTTCGTTGAATTCCTCGTAGTTTCTTCTAATATAAGTAATTACATTTTACTTATTTTTTTTTAATTGGATAAAATTCCAAATTCCTGTCATGCAATCTTCTTTCACTACACGGCATTAATGTGTACTAGTGTTGAACATACAGATCTACCTGTACTTTTCGGTCAAAACAAAGGAATGACGACATAGTTGTTAACTTTTTTCAAACGTCGGTGTTCTTGCATAATATCAACGAATATCCCGGATTAATGAAGTTGAAATTGATGTTCATATAACTGAAACCATCATCCTCTGCTGATAAAATGACCACATTTGTTAAATAAAAACAGCATGTCTCCATGCTGATTCATTCTACTTTTCATTGATTTTAGTTAAATATTGTTAAATAAACAAAAAAACCCGTTAATTTTACACTGCAAATAATACTTATTATCCACGAAAATTACCAAAAAGAAGTCAAAATATGCAAAAGCCCCTACTGCGTAAGTCACACCAGAAATACTGCCAAAATCAGCCATTAATCGCTTAGAACATGTAAATTATTACTTGAGTCTTGAATCTTTTTACTTTTCTTAAAATATGAGTACATTTTTAGTACATTTTTTGAAGTTTGACTTTCTTGAAATAGTTTGGCTCATCTGGAGGCATCCAGCTTTAATTCGTATTAATAATTTATATAGATAAGTGACAGTATTCATGCATAAGTCATATAGAATTAAGATATACTGCAGATCTTGCTTACTATTCGTCCGCATACAAAAGTAAATGAACTGCAAACTTACACTTCCCCATTGTCAAGTTGATTATGAACTTTTTATGAATAATATCATGTGTGTGCAAAGTAATAACGAAGACCTCAGTACGAAGAAAACAAAAATATTTAAGTTGTAATCAATATCGTTGTTTCAATTTATTTTACCCTCATGTTTTTTGTCTTTAGATTATAATTACTCAGTTCAATCGCTCAAGATTGATCTCTTCATTCCATCGATAAACAGATGTTATAACAGGCCCATTGGTTGTTCAAAATTCATAGGTTATTTAAGCACCTATTTAAGAAGTTGAGTGGCTTGGAAGTTGAGTGGCGTGGAAGTTTAGTGGCGTGGAAGCAGTCGTCTTCTCTCTTCCCCTCGGTACGTGTGCATTGTTGAGAAGACACAGAACATCGGCAGAAGAATTGAAGACTGGGGACGGCGAAAAAAGATCGGAACTTGTCCTGCGTGCCAGCTGCCGATTTTCTGACTAAAGTCCTACAAAGTAGGCTTTGGGTCGACGAGGATGGTGTGTTGGGGTGCGTGACCCCCTAGCACATTTAGACGGCTTGAACGACAGGCCTTTTGCTGGCATCAACAACCATGTGCAGGGCTACCCATTCATATTGTCTCAGGTAACTGTACATTTAGGTTCTCTTTGACCGCGATACAGTGACCTACTGTTGGCTCAAAATTCATATCTTGTGCTAATACTCTGTGAAAATTTCATGGAGGTAAATTATCACCACTTTGTGCTTCAAAATTAACTCTGTAAGGGCATGAATGGTAACATGTCATTTAATTTGCGTAAAGCGTGTTCCATAATAGCATTATGTGGTCGACATCGGGTCACTTAAATTCGTATCGATATTTTTTTTCTTTTCACCAGCCATTGACATAATTTTTGCCAAACCTAAATTAAACATGAAAATTAATTGAAATAATGACTCTCAAACAAAAATAAATTAGATATAGTTTACGACATCTAAAATGTCGATATCCTATGAGTAACAATGCAGATAAGGAAAGACACTAAAAATAATGTACTGTTATTACCTGCGTAAAATATGGTGGCATTCGGCCAAAAGATAATGCTATTAACAAATAGCATATATACTCGTACATTCGTACGGAATATAATGTTATAGAAGCTATCTGTGGTTTTGTGTTACATGCCTATACGTATAAGATAAAAAAGTTTCAATATACTTCACTTCTATCAGTTACTAATATAGCCGTCGAGAAATAAAATTCACGAATGACGAATGAACACGTAATCTTTGCAAAAGTGGCCACGCCTTCAATGGTTTTAGTTTCCGTTTCCAAATGCTACGTAATAAGATGGGAACATTCGTGAATAAATAGTCCGGCACTTCCATATATGATACCGTTTTCTGTCACTAACATGATACGGATTTTATTTTATCCAATGAAGTATTTTTGCGCATTAGAATTGTATTTAAGGGGGAAATTTATAGGTATATAACAAAAGGCGTATTCTTACTTTGGTTTAGTTAGAACTATTTGAGAGTTTAAAAGATTTAGATAGTTAATTCGAACGTTCGGATTGTCTACAGGTTTGAAATTCAAACTTTTAAAAACTTTAAATATACTTAATTAAAATTATTATCACATAGTTTTAAGGACATACATTTAAATATATAGATGTAAAAGATCTTAAAATCATGCAAAAGAAAAATAAATTATGTACTTATTGTCAGACCAGTAAATGAATTTTTCTGACTGATCTGATGAGATGCTCTGGTCAATTCGATGTGGCTTACTACCGTGACCCGGAGTAAAAACTACCTACACCAAGAAAATATTTTAGATAGTTTATAGAAAGACATCTGTTTATTTTTTTAGGAAAAAGTCGATTCTCAAGAACACATAAAAAGGTAAGATTAATGAATGTTTTTGAAAATGATAGGTCTACTTAATATTTGTTAAAATGTAAAATGTTGAGCGTCAATTTTTTACCGGCTGTAAATAAATAAATTATACACGATGCCTCTCCGTTTCTTTTTTACGGAATATATTTCATAATTAGTTAATATTATTTTATAACATATTGTAAAAACAAAATAACGTTTCTTAAAAAGACGTAATATTAATCTTAACTACGAAATGTATTTCCTAGAAGCGAAACAATGTTGCATTTATTTAACAATTGTAGATGAAAAGCGGTTAAAATCTATTAAACATCATAAATCATAATGATACTATTATGTAACAATTTCAAGTTTCATTATTCATGTAACATTGAACTCGGTATTAGAATTATCATTTCATATTAACGAATAAATAATGCGTTTCTACGAAATGTTAAATCATATTTAAGAAATGATATGACAATTTTGCCAAATACTTTTCATAATGACGAAATACTTCGCCAAAGATCCCTACACATAAATGTAGTTGAACTTCATAGACAATGGTGCAAAAATTTTACTATACCAAAAAAAAGTGAAAAAAATAAATAAAGTAAAAAATAAATAAATAAAGTAAAACACTACTATTAAATAATAAGCATGTTTGCATTAATGTATATTATTTAGATATTTAAGAGGTCATTGCAATCAAATTTGTTTTTCAAAACAGCCTTAAACATAAAATATTAAAAGGAAGTGAAAATAGATAAGAAAGTATATTGTTACAAGGGACAGGACGTGAAGTGGATGCACACTTGGTTCAAGCGAGGAAATTGGTTGCAAACTTGACAAAATGGCTACCGAGTCATGAATATTTACAACACCCACACGTATTTTGTTCAGGTAAGTGAGTTTGTATGCTATTTTGAAATTCTTTCATATGTCTATTCCTTAAAGCAATGAGTATGGCACACTCAGTTTAAGGTCTCAGCTTCAAAACTTCTAATATGTTTGTTTGTTTGATTTGGTTTTACGTCACACCGACACAGTATAGGTCATGTGGTGACGTTCCTCCTTTACTGGTGGAGGAAGAAGACCTCATGTGCCTCTCTGTGCATCTTTTCAGGCACGAACGGGTACCTGAGTAGAACCACCGACGTTCTGTAAGCTAGCTGGATAGCTTCCTCACATGAAAGATTCCAAAGTCCCTGTCGGGATTCAAACCCACAGCGTGAGGGGCAAGTGGTTTGAAGTCAACGACCTTAACCACTCGGCCTAGGACGCCCCTACTTCTAATATGACGAAGTTATTGAAGATATAAACTGGTCATGTACATATTATGAGATTTGACATGTGACAGTCCAGGGCGATTTATATTCTCATTTATTCGCATCTGTAAGTTTTAAAAGTCACCAAACAAGACAAAGTAAGATCTTTCAATACTGTGTAAATGTTTGAATTTGCATGTTCCAAATAAGGTTTCAATACGCGAAAATATCTTGTTCAAGCGTATTTTAGTTGCAAACTTGTAGTTCAAGCATTTATGGTTGCAAACTTATTTTTTCATTCAAATATTAAACAGCATAAGGATTCAGCGAAGATCATATTGATAAGTCACAGTACTCTCCTGATTTTTGTTCGGTGCGCTACTGAATGCCTTTGCGGTTGTCCAATTTGACAGGATTTTGTCGGGGGTTGCATTCTCTTAATGTGTTCTTATATTATTCCTGTTCCATGGCCATAAAGCACGTGCGTATTTCTTCATTTACGCGTTTCTCAGTTCATTAATGAAAAAGCGTTATGGAATATAATTGAAATTATCAAAATAGCTTTACTAAAGTTGCGTGAAGAAGGATAACATATATAAGAAATGAAATGAAAGAATACTTCAGTTAAAGGAACAAATGTAAATTAATTTCTGACGCTTGTCAGCAGTTCCTTCTAAGTTTTCATTTTGGACTTTGCCACACTTGAAAATAATACATTTCATATTACTCAATAATTCCCGAACTGAAACAGAAACATTTTACAATTTTCGTCGAGTAGCATCATAATGCAACAAAGTCTTTGTGTTGCAATGTTCATGATGAATGCTTCTTTTATGGCGACACGTTTTAAACTGAGGCACTCTTTCATTTCGTTTCTTATTTATGTTGCAGTGTTCATGATGTAATTTTCATTTACATTGATACGTTTTTAACTGATGAACATTTTAATTATGTTTCTAATTTATGTTATTCTTCTTGCAACATCAGTTAAGCTATTTTGATAAGTTCCAATAATGATTTTTTATTCATGAACTGAGACACATGCAAATGGAAGAAAAAGGCACGTGCTTTTTGCTGTGGAACAGATAAAAATAAATGAACAAAGATCAACAATTCAAACCGGCATTAAGAGAATGTACATGACCAGTATATATCTTCAATAACTTCGTCACATTAGAAGTTTTGAAGCTGAGACCTTAAACTGAGTGTGCCATTATCATTTCTTTAACGAATAGATATATTAAAGGGACTCCACTGAGGTTTAAAAGCCTAAAACATAACATTTGAATTTCTTACATAAATGAGCTGGGGCACTTTAAACAGAAATATATGCAAAGATAGTTAAGAAATATACTTTGAAATAAATTGAAAATCGTATTTTTATGCTTTTCTTAGCCCGATTTGAGTGAAAAGCGTTTAAACGCTTTTCATTTTGGGTCATTTTTTTACAATTTGAATAATTATTCTGGAAAAACGAAGTGCGCGAATGATCTGAAATTTTGCACAAAGATAAGTGGTCTAAACCTACATCAAATGGTACATTTATCTGGAAAAATTATTTTCAGTCCCGTGTTGTTAAAAAACCTCAGTGGAGTTTCCTTTAAAGAATTTCAAAATATCATACAAACTCACTTACCTGAACAAAATACGTGTGGTTGTTGTAAATATTCATGACTCGGTAGCCATTTTGTCAAGTTTGCAACCAATTTCCTCGCTTGAACCAAGTGAGCAACCACTTCACGTCCTGCCCCTTGTTGTACTGCGTAACATACTTTTTCGCCACTATTAGACATTTGAAAGGTTATTAGGCAATCAAATTTTCCGATTTAATGTTCAAATCATTCAAGCATGTTGAGTAGATAATAATCTCTGCCTTTGGTTTTGAAACTTGTAAATAGCTATATTTTTTTCCATTTATTGACGATGTTTACTACGCGTAGTTAGCTAAACTTTAAAACTGGATGGCTTTATAGTCATTATGATATTTATAATCTTGATATTGCAAAAGTATAATTAGTCTCATATAATTCAATGTTTTGATGTTCATGTTCTTACACGCTTTTTATTGCTTGGGGATCATACGCCGCTTTTCATGGAATGGCACTACTGTGTCACATTGAAGGTTCCATGATAACCGCCGTATGAACACATCTGGGGATGTTTCTGAATTCAAAATTTTACTATATCATGTTTACGGTAACTTGCACTTTCCAGTACCGTCCATGAACAGGCTCAGTCAAACCGAGCCTGCAACATTTTCAATTTTGCTGTGTTGGGCTTTCTTTTAGGATTCTGTATTTATCTATTTTATGTAAGGTTATGAATTTTCAAATTTTCGTATGTACATGAATGAGACTTGAATAAATAAATATTAATCAAAGAAGGTAGAGTACAGTGTAAGTTATATGATATTATGTCAAACATGGGTAATGGAATTTTATCTCTAACGCCCTGCTGTGTAGGAGCATATTTGTCTCGGAGCACATTTGCCTCACGTAAAACCGATACGGTCGCATTTGTCCCACATGAGACGAATGGGACCTTAAATGTCTCTCCAAAAAACTCATTTGTCTGACAATTGTACTCCGATCAAGTTTTTTTAATGGACAAGGAAGCACATTTGTCTCGTGTTATTTTAAGGGACAAGAAAACACATTTGTCTCATGTGGTTTTTATTAATTATTTGTCACATATTTTTCTAACGGCAATTGAGGTTCGCCGTTTTACCGCATTTCAAATGTAATCATCAATAGGTTTGCTCATGCTTTTTAGCTCACCTGAGCTTGCCCAGGGTTAGTTTTTAGGATCGTTTAATATCCGTCGTCCGACGGACGTCGTCCGGCCAAATTTGTTCGTTAACACTCTAGCGGTCAAATGTATGCCTCAATCATCATCAAACTTTGCCAGGATGCTTGCCTAGGTAATTGCTCGGATGAGTTCGAACATGAGTCATCTTGGTCACATGAGCTAAAAATTTAAAAAATCTTGTCCACACTATAGTAGCTACTATTTTGATCCAAATATCCTGAAAATTGGTCTGAAAGTATGTTTTGATGATTTCTAGGTCAAGTTTGAATATGAGTCACCTTGGGTCAAAAACTAGGTCACACTTGAGTTTGAACATAGGTTATCTCGGATGAAAAGCTTGGTCACAGGAGCTAAAACTAGAAATATTTTTACCATAGTCAGGCCTTTGAGAAGCACATACACGAAGTGATGGGCGATATTTTACCGAAAGCGAAATTCCGGCAAAACACGAAGCGGTGCACGTACCGTGAAATCTCGTGAAAGGGGATTCTGCGACATTGCGAGATCTCTTGTTTGACAATATCGTGTCTTGCTTCGTGTCTCGTTGGACTGTCGCGTCTCGCCTGATTCTGAAAGGCCCAATATTCCATAATTATGGCATTACCCGGATTTTTTTAGGAACTCATGCACGATGCAAGTGTTTTTTCAATGGCGGATCTGAAAGCAGCAATTCTCGGAAAATGGCGATATTTTTTATGTATATATTTCTGATGAAAACAAAATACGTGTGGGATTGTCTTCTCATTTCCTGTTTTTTCTTCCCAGATCATTTAAAGGCCTCCGTAGCAGAGTGATTTCCAAATACCACTTGCCCCTTACCACTGTATGTTCGACACTCACTCGGGGCGTCAAACTATACATTCGAGGAAGCCCATGCAGGGTCCAAATGCGGAATACATATCCACAAGCGCAAGTAATAGTTATCGCTTGAGCACGCCATAACTATTACTT